ATGTACACTGGGTATTATGGCTGTATTCATTCACCTTTTCCACCCCCATTTGTCTGTCCCCTGTCCCTTTAAGTTCCATCTGCCCTCAGACAAAGCATGTTTCAGGTTCCTTTTGTTAAATTGTCAGTTAATTGTTCAAAGGAATTATGCTATGGGAATCTACCCATACTTTTATCAATTTTCTTGAAAATCAGTGCACCAATACATTCAACCATGGTATACAGTTGAGTAAATCTTTGCTATTTTTTAATCTTCATCATTCTGGAAGATTTCTAGTAACCTCTTTGCAGTCTATCCTCTCCCAAGTAACCACATAGGGTCTTTGGTAATTATAAATTGAATCACATGTTACATGGAATAATATAAATATGCTGTTTGCCAATGCATTCTTTTACTCAGCATAATTTTGATGAAATAAAAGATATTTATAAAATGTATTTTTTAATGATTCAAAGTACAGTCGGTGAAATTAAGTGCATTTGCATTGTTATAAAGCTATCACTACTATTGTTTCTGGAACTCTCTTTATCTTCCTGAACTAAAAGTTTATACTCACTCAGTCTCTCATTCTTTTTTCTCTGCTGGCTCCTAATAACCACCATTTTTTATTCTGACTCTATGAATTTGACTACGCTGCCAACTCGTCTAAGCAAACCCTATATTTGCTGTTTATGTCTCTTTTACTTCATTTGATATGATGTTTTCAATGTTAGTCTGTGTTGTAATTCATGTCTGAATTTACTTCCTTTTTAAAGACTAATAGTCTTTGTACATATAGACCACATTCTGTTTTCCCGAACACTTGGGTCATTTCCACATTTTGTGAAAAATTCTGCTATAAACATAATTGTACAAAAATATCTCTTCTAGTTCCTGCTACCAATTCTTTGGGGATATGTATGCTGTAATTCTTTGTTTATTTTTTGTTGGAACCTCCATATTGTTTTCCCCAGTGGTTATACCATTTCATAACATTTCCTTTAGCAAAGTTTTTCATCAGAACTACTTCTCTTATTGTGATTATCTCCACTTTCCAGAAAATTACCTTTGATTTTTCACAGCCCTGCATGATGATGGTCTTTTCCTTTGGTGTCTGAGCTTCTGCCTTTTGTGTCTTTTCAGAGTAGTTTAATTGCTTAGAGAATTGCTCAGCCATGATGACCTCCAGTAAAATTATACTGTGATTTCTCTTAGCTAGCCCAAGCTCTTTTCCTCTGTGTCTTACCTATTTCTCATTAGCTCTAGTTGCTCTGCAGTCCACCAGTAGTCTATTAACAGCCTCACGATGCAACTACCTACATCCCACTAATTCCATTGATTATACCACCCACATTGGTCCTCATAAATGCTATACATCCTACTTATATGCTCTTAGCTATCTCCATCAGATCTTTCCTGTTACTCAGTCTTTTGCAATATTAGTTTGACTTGCTAGCAACCTGTTTACCGTATTTCTAATCTGCCTACTTATGATTTGTTAAAACCCTTCACTTGTTTAGATCTTGTTAGGTCAAGGAATCAAAGCCCAGTAGGAAGTTACACAGAAATCCAGGAATCCAGCTTTGAGGACAAAGAGTATGTCGGAGGCCTCAGCCGTAAAGTACACTCTTAAGAAGAATCATTTCCTTTGACCAACAGCATGCTGTCTACCAGGCTGCATAGGCCACATTAAAGGTCAGGGGAATCCATGGGGGATTCCCTATACAGGATGGGAAGATACAAAAAGAATGGATGTTGAGGAGTTGGGTAAGAAGAGAGATCATGGAGGAAAAGTGAGCAGGGATAGGCTGGTGGGAGAAGAAAGGATTGCAGGGGTTAGCCTGTTCTCTACCAGGACAAAATCCGTTTTTGCACTTTCTTGTTAAAGACTGACAAGCTTGCTTGCCTGTGTATCAAAACAACTGTCAGCGTGTTGCCTTTGCATTTCAGTTTTGATAACCTGTCCTCATCGGGCTCTGTGGAAGCCTCTGCCCAAGCCTAGCTTTGCTCACTTGGGCTGCATCAGTGCTTGCTTAACAGCTACCTCAATCAGACCTGTGTCTGCAGGCCCTCAGGAAAAGATGATGTTAAGGTGGAACACAGAATCAGGTGCAGCAGAAGTGCTCAGGAAGTATTGGCTGGGTGGTGTGAATGCGAGACTCTCTCTCCCTTACTACCATGCATTTTCCTCTGGGGGACAGGAGAGGCTAAGGAGTCTCACCAGTCATTTGGCTCACAGCAGGATTACTGTTTGCATTGCAAAGGCCAGAGGATATTACCTGTGTGATAGAAAGTTTGGCCTCATAGCAATTAGCCATGCTTCTAAAGCACTTTTTGAAAGCATTACCAAATCTGTGGTGGTATTTTAATCACATGCATTTTAAAATATTTTTTTTTGTTTTAGATGTTTGTTTGCTTATTGTTGCTCAGGCTGATGTAGACCTCCTGAGGTCTAGCTCTTCTCCAGCCTCAGCCTCTCAAGGACCTGAGGCTACAGGCACATACTACAATGTACTTAAAAAAGAAATGTTTCGAGAGCTCCCACTGTGTAGATGGGGAACTAAGGTCCTAGCAAGATCTCACAATACACCCGGGATTAGAGGAAGATCACATAACATCCATCTAGCTAAGTCTGTAGATGACATGCATAGTAAGAGTTGGGAGAACTTTTACAGCCCATACTGTGCATGTATTGTGTGACCCACCTCTGTCTGGGCAGTCTTGGGACTGTTCCTCCTTACAGTTCTATGAGCTTGACAGCATGGGCACCAACAACAGCTGTGCAGTGCCCCCTTCACCATTTTTCCACTTCTGCTGCTGGCCCCTGGATTCTGTATTTAGCAAACACCCTCTAGAGCCTCACTCCAAACACAGCTGAAACCGTGGAGCACCTCTTGTGTCTGAAGCACCTCCCCCTCCAGGCCCATCCTGCTCTCCAAGCCCACTGGAAGACAGGCATTGACACTGGTCCCCTGTGTGTGTGAGTCACAGCAGAGAGAGCTGAGGCCCTTCTGGATGAATGGAACGCTCTAGAAGCTCAGAGAAATTACTTGGCTGTACTGGGTTGATAGTGTTGTCACCACCCCAAATTCATTGTCTCCAGACAATGAATGTCTTCATTTGGAAATAAAGCCTTTTCAGAAAGGATATTATTCTAGATCTAGGACCAGTGAGTGGCCCTGTAGAGGAGAGGATACAGAAAAATGTAGGGAAGAGAGCCACGAAAAGATGGGAGGCAGTGAATGAGCTGTGGCCAAGGAAGCAGCAAGAAATGATTCTGGCCTGAAGCCTTCAGAGGGAGCAAGGCCCTGTCAACACGTGAGCTCTGTTCGGCACTGCAGAACTTTGAGAGAATAATATTTCTACTGGGCAAGCCATTAAGTTCGTGTCAGTTTGTTTTGATAGCCACAGGTAACACATGTCCTTGCAGCTATGAAGTGAGGTCACAGGATGGATCAGGGAATCAGAGTGCTGGGTTCCTCTGCTGCCCTTGGCTGTCTTCACTGACGGGCCCTAGAAATTTCTTGTAGCACGTGTAAGGTGCAAGGGGAGCCAGGGTTTAGGAGGAAGAGCAGAGTTGGATTTCTCTGTGGCCACTCTGGTCAAATTTGCTGGCAAAAGACTTCTCTGTCCCTTGTTACCATTACCACTGCCTTCCCTTGAGAGCTCACCCTAGCCAGTGAGGTCTTTATGCCATTCCACTTGATGTTTATGAGGACACTAGTCAGTGAGAGGTGTAGCCATAGTTTTATATTTGAGATTTATTCTCTTGCTCAAGGTTACACAGTAGGAATGGTAGAACCAGGATATGAACTTGTATCTTTCTCCATTTCCCTTAACTACAATGCTATAGGCTTACCTACTCATATTAACAATAGGTGGCTCAGTGGTAAAGCGCTTGCCTTGCATGCTTGAGGCCCTGGGTTCGATTCCTCAGCACCACATAATCAGAAAAAAAAAAGCCGGAAGTGGCGCTGTGGCTCAAGTGGTAGAGTGCTAGCCTTGAGCTGAAGAGCTGAGGGACAGCGCCCAGGCTTAGAGTTCAGGCCCCACAACTGGACCCCCCAAAAAAAATAAATAAAAATAATATTAACAAATGGCTAACCCAACAAGAAGAGAGGCCTCCACGGTTCTAAGAAACCCCTCACCAGGACTTCCAACAGTCTTCTTCCTTCTCTTACCTATCTGCCTCCTCCTGCATGCAGCAATGTAACACCATTACTGTTGCTTGGAAGGCCTAGGATATGTGCACTTTAGGTTTCTCTGATAGAATGTCTCTCTCCCATTTGTTTTGCTGAACTCTTATTTGTCGCACATGGTCTATTGCAACGTTCTCTGTATATTCCATTATCTAGCACTTACTGTATGGATCGTAAGTCCTCCTGCGTGTGTTTGTCTTTCCCAAGATGGAATAAGAGTGGCTTGAACATGGACCGAGTCTTGATTTTTCGCTTCTAGCATCTTCTACAGCAGCTCTGGATCTCTAACGTCCTCAAACAAAGTTTAAATACGTGAAATACATAGAAGACATAAAGATCATCAAATAATAGATACTTAGTAGAAATAAAAAAATATTCATTTTAAAAGGAAAGAAAAAGAACAGATACTCAAAGACCAGCATGTATAGGGGACCTACTGAAAACCTTTTGAGATTTGAGTCCCCCTTTCTGTGTGCTCCCAAATGGAAATTCACTGTAATGGTCAATCTGTATTTTGAGATGGACAAGACTCATGAACATAATTTTTGTCTTTTCTGCTTTAATCTTCTAACTGCATATTCTTTGGACACTTACCCCATTTCTAAAAGTGGTTGTGTTTGTAATAGTGCACCTCTCATTTTATACTGCCCCTGGTTTTACTGTAGGACCCTACTTTCTGGGGTTCCACTCAATGGACTTTCCAGGAGACATGTGTCCTTTGTCAACCAAGGCCTGTGTTTTTCTCTCATATTGGAATTTGCTCATGTGGGAGGTCCTGCCAGGCTCTTCTAACTGTTCTTCCGTCTTTGTCTCTCCCTCAAGGCTGGCCGTGGGTGACTCTCACCGTCTTGGCATTCCTGTACTGCTACTCCAACGTGGGTATTGCCTGCGCCCAGACATACACTGTGGACTAATGCTGCTGGTCTCTAGGGTAAATGGTACTTCATCCTGATCTCCCATTCCAAGACCATCTCCAAAGGACTGTCTTCTGCTCATCTTCTGTTGAAGACACCTCACTCCAAGACTGGCAACTTGAGCTAGCTCCCATAGAAAATATATAGCCAGACAAACGGCTAACTTTGGGAACTTATGTTCTCACTCAACCATCCGTTGACTGTTGGGCAAGCTGAGGTCCAGGACCGAAGTGTCTTACCCAGCTTTACATGGTGCCTTTTTTTTTTTTTAAATCTAGAACCTAGTCCCATGGGCCTTTTGGCTTCCGTCTCTTTTACTAATAATTGACATGAATTGAATGCAGAAATCTTGGTTAGTGATAGGCCTGGCCTCACGGGGGCAGTATTTCTGAAACCTTCTGCTGCTGTGTTGGTGACACACATGCCTTCTCTTCCATACCTTGCCTCTGGAGCTGTGAAACCAGCCTGGAAAGCTTAGCTTCTCACCTCAGGTGGAGGTGACAAAGCAAGAGTTGTGTTTATAATGACCTAGACACAGAAAAGAAAAGCAGTTCTATAGTGTTCCAAGAAGTCCATACTCGGGCTCCAGTGATTTGACCTTTATCAAGGTAATCTACATTTGAATGCTGGCTCCTGAGATTTGCAGAGATGTACAAACATGGTAGCTCCAACAGCTAATTGTTTCTCAGTAAAGGAGCAAAATTTTAAAGCCAGCAAGTGAGTGTATCCACAGGTGGGTGCTGTCAGGAAAGCCGTAAAAGATGGCTACCTGTGGTCTCTCCTGTTCTCTCTACTAAATCCCAGGAGGTATCATCATACTGGCTATTATTTTGTGCTCAGTGGTTTATATGGTTTCATTTTGATTCAAATAAAATGAAGTCTTTGTTTTTTGTTGTTACGTAGATAATTTGTGCTTTCCAATTAATTGGAGGAAAATGTTTAAAATCTAAACACACGGGGCTGGGAAGGTGGCTCAGTGGTAGAGCGCTTGCCTTGCATGCCTGAGGCCCTGGGTTCAATTCCTCAGCACCACATAAGCAAAAAGAAAAAAGCCGGAAGTGGTGCTGTGGCTCAAGTGGTAGAGCGCTTGCCTTGAGCTGAAGAGCTGAGGGACAGCGCCCAGGCCCAGAGTTCAGGCCCACAATCGGACCCCCCAAAAAAATCTAAACACACATATACTTCAATGGCTTATCACTGCTGCCCTCTCCCAAAAAAAAAACAGACTGTCTACTAATAGACACAAGTTCTAGAGAGCAGAGTATTTCTTTTTGGATTTGGATGTGGGTGGGGTGGACAGGAGGAAAGAAACTTTACGTTTGACTCCTTAGTGTATCAAGTTTGGGGAGAACCTTTAACATTCCAAGTATATGGATTGTCATTGGGTGACAATTAAAAATAAAGTTTACGTGGATCTAATACTGCCACATTGGTTACATGGTATTGGCCTTAGATCTTGAATGTGGTTATGAGCTCAATGAAACTTGAACTACTAGCATGCAAAACTAATCATTTGACTACCCTTTCCTCCAAGCTTCTGTGCTTGGAAGAGAGATCGGAGGGGTCTAGATCCTGATGGCCGGGATGGCCATGCTGTGCATTACATGTAGAGAAGTCTTTAATATGGGGACATATATAAATAACACAAAATATATGGGACTTTACTAAAGAGATCATTTACATAAACACAGGTTGTTCATTTCTTAAACTCTATTAGAAGATGCAGTGGATGTATGTGAACGTAATAATCCAGACTTTCTTTTAACCCATGTGATTCAGATGGTTCTTGGGACTTAGTAAATGATTACTGTTTAGCTAATTGAGGTGTGATTTACTAATACGTATTATTCCGGGATCATAGTTTTTCTTAACCTCTTACTGCTCCCAGCTGTAATGTGGAAACAACAATGCTTCTCTGTACATGCACAGGAGCTAAAACCCCGGAGATGCTTTAAACAAAAGACCCTTGAGGTGCCTGGGCGCACAGAGCAGTCACTGCTGAGGAGCAAATGTCCTCATCCTTGGGAGTCTTCTGACTTGGTGCTGGTAAAAGACAAAACCTGGTTCCCAGGATCTAGCCCCAGGATCATCTGACCTGGCCTGACCTAGCTCCACAGGCAAGCCCAGGAGCTCTAGCACAACTGCCAGGAGAGAGCCCAAGGAGGGCAGCGAGACATTTGAAGGTTACAAACCTCAGTCAGGATGATTAATTCTTGGAACCATGCAAGAAGACATAAAAATATTACATGTTCAGATTAATTTAAGTGACAATTTGTTCTATTAAAGACTAGGTCTAAAGAGAAAATATGTCAATGTACTTGTACAATTCATGTATTAAGAGAATAGCTTAAACTCAAAGCCTTCCACTTCTGCTTGGCCTTTTCACTCGAGGCTGATGCTCTACCATTTGAGCCACACTTCCTCTCCTGGCATTTTGGCGGTTAATTAGTGACAGTTAATTAGTCTCAGGGATTTGTCTGCCTGGGCTAGCTTTGAACCACAATCCTCAGCTCTCAGCCTGTTAAGCTATGATTACCATAAGCTAGTATTACTATGAGTCTCTAACTGGTACCTCCCTGAATTCTTTGTTCTAGAAATGGTTTAATTTTTAACACAAGCAAAAAAAATCCTATTTTAAAGAATTAGTTAAATCTAATTTGGCACCCAAAATGCAGTATCTGTGACAACTCTGCATTGCTAGTCCCTTTGACTAATTATCAAAGTCACAAAAAGATTTTATTTCACCATTGAGGTTTTTTATTTTTTAATGTGATGCTCGGGGCTTTTTTAGGGGGCACTTCTGAAATAAATATCAGTCAGTAAGAATTCTAAATAATGCCATCCTTAAATTGATTTAATTATGCTTTTCTACCATATGATTAAATAACAGGGCAGCACATCATTCAAAATACATCATTAAGACTGAGGCCCTGTAGGATCAAGCTGAGCCCCATATTTGGCTGGTACATCACAGCTTCCCCATCCCTAAGTTAAGTTACAATGTCTGTAAAAGTAGAAATGCCATTTATGAAATACGGTCCACTGGGCATTCAACAAGAACTCAGGGTTGTGGGTGTCTTGCCGTGGGCCCTATTAAAATTATAGCAGAACTAAAATTGTTGGTATAAAGGGTATTCAAGGCATGAATAGCGTCTGACACCATCAATGAAGAAAAGTGAGGATGAGAACATATTATTGACAGTCAATCAGAAAAGATGTGGTGTTCTTCATACTGTGTCTTGAAAGTCAGGGAAGCATTAATGTATTTTCATGCAAATTTCAATCCAAATGGTTCAACATGAAAAGCTTCACTTCTAAGTGGAAGGCCAACCTGTGTGCTAAACCAGCTGTCAGGTAATTTTCAGTGATGCCAGGTTGTTTTGGAAGCATTCTTGGCTCAATGTGGTTTGTCCTCTTCAAAACTCATGTTGGCTTTTCTTTTCCTTCTTTTTTTTGGCCAATAATGCAGTTTTGAATTGACAAGCACTCTACCACTCAAGTCTTGCCTCCAGCTTCACTTTTCCCTTTGCTTTAATTTTTCTGACAGAGTGTTGTGCTTTTGCTCAGAGCCACCCTTGGATGGTGATCTTCCCATGTCTACCTCCTCCCTGGCTGAGACAACAGGTATTCCCCACCACACACTCAGCTTGTGTTTTTTTAGGAATAAGAGTCTTGTTGACTCTTATTTGGGTCTAGGATGGCCTCAAACTATACTCCTTCCATCAATGTTTTCCACACAGCTGGACCATTACTCATCACTCAGGTTCAAATCTGATTGCCCTTGTGGTGTTCTGGGAAATGGGCCTTTGTGAGGGGATTAGGTTGTTTAGAGGGATTGATACCTTCAGCATGGGACTGGGTTAGTTATCTCAAAGGCAGGTTATTATTAAGCGAGGCTGCTCCTCACAGCGTGTCTTGTCTCTTGGGCCATATACTCCCTTGCCATTCTGTTAGGAAACAGCCTGAGGCCTTCACCAGACTTGGCCACGTCCAAGTCTTCAGTACCAAGGGCCTATAAGAACTTCTCTTCCTGATACATTACCCAGAATTCTATTAAAGCAATAGAAATTAGACTTAGACACAGATTTGAAAAGTTCCATATACTTGTACATCACACACACAGCTCTACCTCCCAGTCACATGGCCAAGTGCTTTCATATCTATTCATTCTCTTACTCAGTGATCCTTAGATATAACATCTTGGTATCTTGAGAATTATAAGTTCTCCAAAAATCAACACTGTACATTCTATCCAAGTCAGAGCTTTCCCCAAACTTGAAAAGGAATAGAAAATAGTGTCCTTGCTCTGTTGTTAAAGTTCAAACACCCAATTCAATAACTTATAATTATGTAAGAAAATGCAAAAGCAAGTGTCATGTATAAAATAGTTTATTACCATAATAAATAAAATTAAACTTTTTTGTTACAAATATCATTTGTGCTTGTTTAAAAATGTTGAGATTCACCAATGGGGGGCCCACGTGTTCCTCTTTATGTTCCCAAGCCACAGGCATACAGTGGAAGTTCCTGGCAGCATCCTTGGCTGACCACAAAAATAGTATCAGCTCATTTGCATTTCTGTTTATTCATGCTCATTTTTGGACAAAATGACAGATGCAAAGGAAAAAGGAAAAATAACCCAATAGAGGATTTGGCAGGACTCAATGGAAAGAACGCTAGTATAAGGAGAAGCCTCAGAATGATGAACCGCTCATGAGAAGTGTCCTTGTAATGAGATGGTACATGTGGACAGTCTCCAATGATGCACAAATACAGTGTCTGAATATTAAGAGAATACATTCACTGGGGATGGGGATTGCTCCTTAACACACAAGCAGTTCATCTCCTGAAACAAGAGCTGTGAACTTCTTGTTAAACAACTAATGGATCTGTTGGCTGACTCAGAAGTCATACACACACACACACACACACACACACACACACACACACACACACAATGGCTCTAAGAAAAACTGAATGGCAGGTGGAGGGACACCTACCAGGTGTGGCACCCGCAGGGTCTTCAAGTCCAGTTTTAGAGGCTCCAATTGAAGTCTGATACGTTTCACGTGACAATAAAGTTTCACTTGAAATCAATTTAAGCAGGTTAATTCACATTGATTCTTTTGAACAGTGGGAAGCAGAAAGGAGAACTTCTCAACTCCAACTCCTTTGGAGAGAAAATGGAGGCTTCCTCTTCTCAGTCAGTGCTCAAAGGACAGTGAGGGCTCCTCCACTAGAGGGCACAGGAGCAAGTGGGAAGGTAGAAGTATAGGGAACAATGGCAATAACTGAGTGACAGAAGAGAGCTTGTCCAGGGGCTGGGACAGGCCCTCAGCAGGCCTCTTCTTTAAGCAACATGAGGTGAGGAGAGAAGAAGGGGCATTGGTAGTTCCATCACAGCTGGAGTTCCATTCAAGGGTCTTAAGGCTAAACGTCTTTATTGCAAAACAGTACAATCTATTAAACAAGTGCGCATGAGCAACTTGGATCTCCTCCAGGACTTCTAATGGCCCAGAGTGTGCGCATGAGATGTGATGGTCAGTGCAACAGAGGAAGTGAGGATCTTCCTCCAATTAGAATCCCTACCCCATGGTATCAAGACAAGCCTGGCAGTTGGCCTAATACGTTCACCTTCCACCTGAGGATCTGGAAGATGAAGCCTGCTGCGTGGGGTAGGAGGGTACCAGGAGTGTATCTTACCCCTTCTCCAGCTATCCCCACTTTTGAAAGAGGAGAGAACCAGGAAAGAAGGGGCTGATGTATGGCCAAAGCAGCACAAAGGCTCCAAGAAGAGAAAAAAGACCTCAGGAATCAGATCACAAGAAATCAAAAGGAGAAAGGCATTTCCAAAAGCTTAGGGAAGACTTTTGAAATAGGCAGAACTCTTGAACACC